CCTTTTGTAGTGAAAAAATATATATCTGTATATACAAAATAGGATAGAGATACAGCTACTTTCTCTTAGTTCAATGAGAAAGATTTGTACTACAAGTGTTTAGACAAGATATCGTGTCTGCATCTGGTACTCTGAATAACTACTACAAAGACAATCATATATAATGTATTAATTATTGTAACCGTCCTATCAACCTGTTTTTGAAACTGTCTCATTGCTATTTCTTTCTCAATAAAATTAATTTTAAAAAAAGAAAAGAAGATCAGAGCTGGCTCTGGCATCTGGGGAACACCAGGCAGGAAGGGTCAGCAAGGTAAAATAAGTCCAAGAAAGTTATAAATCCAGGCAGAAGCGATGTGTGGTGGATGTCATCTGGGGGTCAACTTGCTACACTCAGTGGAACGGCACTAGCATGGGGCTGGGTGTGGAGGCTCAGCCGAGGACTGTTGCCAGCAGCATAAGAGACAGAACTGGAGAGGAGAAGCTGTGAGGGATGCTGCTGGAGAGGCCGCTGAGCTGCTAAAAGCTGCAGGTTCTGATGGGCGGTGCAGCTTGTCATGCTGGCTTTACTGATGAGAAGGAGGAGGGGCTGTTGGCACTGGAGGAGGAGCTCCGGATCTTGCTGTTGCTGGGAATGGCTGTGGCTCACTTTGGGGGAGTTCTGGTTCTCATCTTGAGCATCGCTTCCTGGCTTCAGATGGGAAGATGGTGCACTGCTCAGCCTCCTGGAGAAGCTTGTTGCATTGGCTTTCCTGATGGGAATCAGCTTTCCTCATCACTGGAGGAGCCTTGGACCTCAATACTGCTGAGGATGGCTGTGGTGCTTTTCACAGGAGCCTGGTTCGCCCTTTGAGCATTGTCTCCTGGCTCCAGTGCAGGTCCTTCAGCCTGCTGCCACAGATTTTCTAACTTCCACCCCAACCTTTGGGCCTTTCCAGCACAGATCCATGAATTAGGCCTGCATGAGACATTGCTGTGGGCTCTAGACCTCCAGTTGGGCTTATGAAAGGCATTGTTTTGGGCTCTAGGTCTTCAGCTGAACTCACACAGGACGTTACAGTGGGATCCAGGCCCTCAGATTGATTTTTTTTGGTCTTTAGTGCATAGACAGATTTCCTGTTCTCTTTGTATGTGACTCCTTGGGTGACTACTATAAATAATCTTGAAAAATATATGTCCTGTATTGTATTCTTCCTCTTGCAAAACCCCAAACTGTAACAATATGGGAGAACTAAGAATAGATTGTCACAGTAACCGAATGTCAGAGGCTTAGTGAAGCGACAGCAGGGTGAAAGCCACTGGACATGTGAGCTATGTCAGGACTGAAACGGTCCTTTGGGTAGCAAGCCACCAGCCACCAGCGTATCTAGGATAAGGATGAATGCTTTGGCTGGGCAGGTGCGACTCTTGCTGAAGGGCTTTCTGTTCCTCATAATATATCCTGGAAATTCTTAAGGCTGGCTTCCCTTGTTACCAAGGTCCAAGATAGCATCTCAGCTTCCTAATACTTCATCACATAGCAAAACTGTCTCTATTATTTAAGGCTTAACTCTAAGGTTGCTATGTATACTAAACCTTTTGATTTTTCCCAGGTAAACATAATTTTTAAACATTTCTGTTGCTTTATTTAAATTTATCTAACTTATAGTTTTCAGCCTGGAAGTGTAGCTATATAGAATGCTTTCTGTTGACACAAGATTGAGGTCAACTTAGTGACATAATAAACATCATATTTTCCAGTATTTTAATTGCTTCAGAATGATATTAACTCATGTAACTCATATTTTTCCTTGATTTTACATGTATTATATTATTCACAAATACACATTGTATGAAAGAAAAAAATGAATAAAAAACAGCAAAGTGCATTATAATAAATAATATTATATGGATAACTGACTATATGTATTTCCCAAGTAAATACAAATTAAAAGTAACATTAAGATAAAACAATTTATGCTATGTCTAAATTAGTACAATGCAATTATGTTAAAATATGAATTTTTCTTTTTTTGTATTTTAGGGAAGGGTCTACAGGGTGTTCAGGTTCTCACTACTATATCGGACTGGTAGTGATCCGCCTGTTCACAGCTTCCCAAGTGCTGGGATTACAGGCATGCGCCACCACACCCAGTCTCAACTGCTGTCTCAGCATGTCCAGAGGACGGGGCTGGCACAGCAGGCCGGGGGATTGAGCCCCTGGCCCCTGTGCCTGCTTGTAGGCACTTTAATGTACTGAGCTATTTGGCCAGCCCTTGAATTGTTCTTTAACTCTGGATGTTTAAATAATCTCCCCGCCCAAAAAAAAAAAAAATCAATCATTTTGACTTAATATCAAACATAGGTCCTAGTTCAACACTTAGCAGGACAGGGGCCGGGGACATGGCTCAGTAGAATAAGTAAGCTTAATCCCTGGTTCCACAAAAAAAAAAAAAAAAAAAAAAAGACTTAGCAGGACAATTTTCCATTATCTTAGGCAGAAGAATACCCTCTCTGTTTTCTAATTCTTGTGGAAGACTGGAGGTGGAAATGCTGTGAAGTTCGCTGTGTGATGGTTTTGGAGCTGGATACTAAATCCATGACAAAAATGGTCTGAGGGAGCGTGTATCAGAAATGGACAGAGCAGTGGCCGAAAGTAAAGAGGTCTTTAATTTTTGTTTATAATTTATCAAATTGGTAAATCCCTTCCTGAGTTTCAAAACATCTGTGATAGCTTTGTTCTTGATGCACTATAGGAATAGGGAAAATCAATATGTGGAAGAAGATTTAGGGTAAGAATTGATGTGTGAGATATGCGCAATATAAGATGAACTGGAGACTAAGTTGTTGGTTCCAATGTTTTAAGTTTACGACCAGATCGATTCTCTCCTTCCTTCTACAGAGCAGAGCAAGGCAGCCTGGTTAATCCCAACCTACACACTTGGCAGTACTCCAAACTTGCTCCTTTCCTAGTGGAAGACTCCGGTGAGTTCAATCATTTGATGGTTCAGTTTCAGTCTCATCTCATTGTCATCTCCAACTGACCTGACTGAACCCCAAAATATGTGTGTATGTAGCTATATCCTAAATCCTAAATACCCAGGCTGAAAGGGGTTCTGTCTGTGCATGAATCAACTTCCAGACATTCAGTCTTTGGTTTTCAATGTTTCCAGACTGGTTTCTACAGCCATAGATTCCTCAGGTTTGGTATTTTAAGTCTAATCTCAAAAGATAGCCTTGCACTGTCTTTTGGACACTGTGCTGGTTCCATCTTTGGCCACAGCATTTGGACACAATTTGGCCTCACTTTTGTTCTTCCTTTCAACTTATGTCAATGCCCTGGCATTGAGTATGGTTCCTAGTTGATTGTTGCAAGTATCTATGCCTGGATTAATTCCTCTCGGGCCCCACATTATGATCCTTACTTGGCCTTTTCAGGATACCATGGAATTAACCACGTCCCCCTGATTTTTTTTTTTTTTTTTTTTTTTTGTCCTGGGACATAACCTCACTCTTCCCAGGCAGAAACTATGCCACAGAGCTATAACTCCAGCCTGGGAATTAACCATTTTTAACTTTTTAAAAATATTTTGTTATTTTTTAAAGAGAGTACAAAGTAGTTTTAACACAGAAAAATTACAAATGATACAGAATTTCACTAAACAAAATAAGATGAACTTCACAATATTTGGTGTATTCAAATTAGAGGTAGGATTCATCCCATGAATTAACCATCTTGAAGAAACTAGATTTTATTCCCTTTCCACTTATACTTTTGAGGAATGTCAAATCCAGAATATGACATTAAAATAGAAGATATGTCAGAAGATGTATTAGTAATGAGCTTCTAATATATTCATGACTACTGCTTACGGTAAGATAATAGCAACAACACACTTTTATTCTGATTATTTGTGTCCAAAATTATATCACAGATATTAGACTATTAGGAAAAGAAATGACATGACAGTGATTTTATTCTAAACCATATATCTTCAGAATAATAGAGCTTTATTCAAAAGATGATAGCTATTAATTTGAATAACTATTTATTCTACTACCTCACAGTAGTATTTATATTTTACTGTAAGAATCTTTTAATTTTTCTTGTTTTCCCATATATGTATTAAGTAATATAATTTATATTTTTATATGTAATTTAAAATTTAGCACATAGGTAGGTGTCATATATATTCTATGTCTTTCTACCATTCTCATATATGTTTTCTTTTATAGTATATGCAGTGATCGAGTTTTTAAAAGAACATGGTAAGCTCTGATTTTGGAATATGCATACAAGAATAGGTGTGCAGAATGTATGTTAAATATATACTTGTTATGATTGTCTTCTTTACTTTTTATTTATTTGCCTCTTTATTTTTGCCACAATAGGACTCGAACCCAGGGCCTTTACATTTAGCTATGCCTGTAACCTCTGTTTATGGATAAATACTGATCAGATCCTAACTGCATGATGGTTCTAAAGGCAAAAGTGAACCAGGGTCAGCATCTTACGGAACACATTTTCTCATTTCACAGAAATTCTTCTACGGAGCAAACATTTTCAAGTGAGCTTCGTCGGATGGAGCCAGGCTGAGTTTAAGCAGGCGCGGTGCCACAACTCTTCACAACCTGACCTGAAATTTGACTGCTAATGCTTATGTCAGCTTATGGCCCTAAAGAAATAGAACTATTAGTGCAAGAACATTAAAAATGATGCCTTGTTTATGTAAATATGACTAATCTTGGGAGATTATCTTCGTATCAATGAAATAGTAAACTAATAAATAAAGCTGTTCTATAACACAATAAGTTAAGAAACTTTACCATAGACGTATAGTCACGACACCCTTTTCTTTAGGCTACATTTACCTTTTTTGGTGGACGCAGCGGCTGCCTCTTCCTTGGCTCGTTCAGGCTCTGTAAGTTCAGATGTTAAAGCAATGAGAAACGGGGTTACGGACACTCAGTCGATGGCACACATTGCCGTAACTGTCACAGCAGAAGATGAGCCACGCGCAGCTTCTAGGCAAAGCGAGTGTGAACTCCATGAGCAATGTATTTGTACTTTTCTAGTAAATTAACTTCCCTGTATAACAGTACAGAAATTCTTTCAAAGTATAATTCTGTGACACTCAAATTGTGTATCACAATTATCTAAAAATGACAATAAAAATGATGTGTTATTCCACAAAGTACAGTGGTATAGTAATGTGCCAGTTTACTGCCAAATTTTAAGTGATACATAAATTTTAGGGAAAAGCATGGAAAAGTCTGTCTTTGTTCACGTAATCTTTAATTGCTGTGTAGTATTCTATTGTATATACTATATGATTTGCATATATTTCCTCATCAATGGATATTTGGTCACACATTTTATTTTGTTTGATACAGAATGCTTCAGTATTTACTCATGTGCATGTTGCCTTGTGCGCTTGTGCAAGAATTTCCTTAGAAGTTAAAATTTCTGAGTCACAGCATGTGTTTAAAAAATCCTGAAGAGAATACTAATGAACAGAATGCAGCAAATCATCAAGGAGATCATATGGAATGACCAAGTAGGATTCAACCCAGGAATGCAGAGATGGTTCAACACACTCAAATCAATAAATGTAATACACCATGATGGAAGCCAAAGGCAAAAACCACATGATCATCTCAATAGATGCAGTATATGTAAAGTTTGAAAGACTCTCTCAAAGAAATTCTAGCTGTGGACTAAAATGCTGGTATATTTTAGTGTATTAAGATTAAAACCTTTAGTTTACCAATGGACAGCCTATAGAGAAATAAAGAGCAAATCATACAGTTGACAAATATATTTATAATACAGATAAGTAAAAAAAAAACCTAATAACAAAAATAGATAACTCCAAGATAACAAATTTGATAGAGAAATAGGAATAAAACTAAAGAAAATATATAAGGAAGCTTTAAAAAGAGAAAATGCAAATGGCCTGAAAACATATCTAAAGATGTTCAAATTCTAGTCAATAATGGAAGTCTATGTAAAAATTACAGTATAATTGCACTTCACATGTACCAAGTTGATAGAAATGCAATCACTGTTTTGGTGTTAGTCATATGGAGCAATGGAAATGCTCATATCCACCTCTTACATGAACCTAAATTTTGGGGAAAAATATGGTATTTATCTGGTGAAGTCCTTGTGAAAAGGAGAGAAACTGCTCAAAAGGAAAGAACAACTGAGATGGGAAAAAGGAGAATTGAAGGAAGAATATATACATATATATGCATATATATGATTGTACTACTAATTTCTATTAGTTCATTGAAAAGAATAGTTAATGCTTATATTATTTGATCAATTGTGTAACTTGATCTTTGATTAATATCTTGTATCTGATCAATTACTTTGAAAATAACAATATACAATAAGATAACTATTGTTAATTTCCTATCACCTTATTTTGAAATTCTGTATCATATTTGTTTTCTTCACTCTTAAAAATAAAAATCTCATACTCAAGAAAAAGTGAAAAAATATTTTTCTGTGCTTTCAAAAATATTGCCATGTCTTGCTTTTACTCTTTTAGTCCCTGTACCATCTGGAATTGATATTTTGGAATTATAGACAGTAGCATTAAATTACAAGTTTAGTAATGAACTCTGCATCAGCAACATTTTAAAATAATCTCTCCATTCTGTATATGAAAAGACTATTATTTCTCATGGCAGATATTTGCTCAAGTAGGGTGTATTTTTAGATCTCTCTTTTTCCTGTTCCATTAGAGAATTTGTCTTTTTGCTACACCAATACTATACTGAATTTTAAAATATAATATTAGGAGCTCAATTTACCACAAAGACTCTGGACAAGTGCCAGTCTTTGAATAGTCATACTTTTCAGTACTTTGGTGTTGTGTTAATTATGTTACTTTCCCAATACAGAAATCTCTTCCTTTGACACCCATCCTGCTTCCTCATATCTAAGTCCGTCTTAGAACCTGCTTCTACTAGTGTTCATCTGTTTAATTGGTTCCTTTAGTGCCCAGCCTGGTGAACATTCTTGGGCTGCGAAGCATACTAGTTTTCAATTCGGGGCTGGCACCCAGGATGTGAACACTGGGCCCACACATAGTTTTCAATAACAAGCACCTTTTTCCATACAGTTAAGTCGGTCCCTCACTACCTAGTTTCCTGGCACTTAAGCCTCCCAGAATGCCTCTCTCTAGTGTTACATCAGTACTGTTCAGAGTATTTGCTGGCAACTCCAATATAGATAGTGATACTATAAGTCATAATCTAGGCTGAGTGAGGGAAAGTAGGTCCTGGTTACAATTGCTCTGAGCAGATGTACTAAAGCAAGATGATCCTCACTGTACTATATGGCCATACGTGTGTGCAACATAGGCTGTAGATATTCCAGTTGGACATTAGGTGTTCTAGTTCAGACCTATATGATGGGAGGTCACCAAGCCATGCTCCCATGAGAAATGAAGTGCCTGGCCTCCATCTCTACCTTACCTTTACTACAAACCTATTATCTCTGTGAGATACACAGAGCTTTCTGTATATAAGCAGATGTCTCCTTAATTGGCCAAAAGAATGTGATGGGGACTGGCAGAGGTGAGAATTGTCCTCCCTGATGATGGCTGGAATGGAGGCTTAAGCAAGACCCTGTGAAATTCCAGGGCTAAGACAAGAGAGGACATTTCATCTGAGGCCATGGGACTCGAAAAGAATTACACCTTCACAGCAGTACAGCTACCAGCCTTGTGTACACTGAGTTATCTGCTGAATCACTGATCGGAGGCCTTTGTACTTGATGCAAGAGCATGCTGTTTCCCCTCACAACCATGCCTGCAAAGCTCCTCTTCCCACGCACTCTGCTGCTACCCCACCTAGCTCTGCTTGGTACTGATAAAAGGTTTGCTTGCTCTGAATCTTGGCCCTTTGCTCCACTAAGAAAATGGCCATCCCAGAGTCTCTCTCTCTCTCTCTCTCTCTCTCTCTCTCTCTCTCTCTCTCTCTTCTGTATACCTTTCCCCAAAAGATCTCTATATCACTATATTTCAGCTGAGTCCAACAGAGCTCCATTTTGCTAACATACATTGTTCTAAAATATTTTTTATTCTCTTAATGAATAGAATGATTTTTTCTAATGGTGTTTGTAAGTAGGATCACAAGTCTGCATCTTGTACAGCAATTAACCACTAAGAAGAATATATGCAGTGTATTATTTGTTGAAACTGTACTTTTGATTTGATTTGAAACTGTCTCATTGCTATATGTTTATCAATAAAACTTTGAAAAGAAAAAAAATATTTTTTAATGTTGCATAACTACATAAATTCAAGAGGACTTTATTCCTTATTTCTGCATACTGATTTTTCCCGGAAGATACTGGTATGCATCAGTAAATCAGCTCACTGATATGTGCTTATGCAGTTAGACTCTGAAGTATGATTAAGTATGACAACCCTCAGGCTTGGGGCATGAGCACCCACTTTGTGCAGCATTAAAATGACGGGTAGAAAAATGCCTTATCGTTGAAATTTGATAGAAATTTAGACTCACAATTAAAAATGACTAGCCTTTTAGTCTTTGTCCGTGGTTGATTTTCTGCTGAAAAGTAAAAGTAGCCACAGACTACTTGTGCATTGGGAAGATGGAAAATAGCCCTCAGATGTGAGTGAATGGGTGGCGCTGTCCAAGGTCCTGACAGGGTTGATTGGCTGAGAGCTCACTAACAAGCGGGGGGAGGCAGGAGTATCAGACCTGCTTAGGAAACAATGCTTAATGTGCCCCTTTTGAAAGATTCACTACTGATGACATTAAATTCTGGAAATTCTCTATACTAAAATGATTTGCTTCTCTGACATGTTCTTTTCTGGAAATGATTGATCATATCATCAGCCTCTCTGTTGCTACCCTCTGTATGGGAAGCCACCCATGGAGAGTGATCAATAAAAATTAGGTATGTTGAGGCTGCATTATGGCAGGGAGAAGAAAGATTTCAGTGCTTAAAGGAAAAATTTGTTCGTAGTTGGAGAAATAGTTGATCACAGTGCTATCAGAGATTTTAAATAGTTTATAAATCATTCCTAATTAATTTCTTGTTGCAAAGTAATGTGCATTCCAAAACCAAGTGTCCAGCTTCACAGGGAGCTGAATATCAACTTCGGAAACTTTTACTTTGGGTTTAAATGATTCAGTGATTTAATTTGCTAATTTCCTCCAAAATATGCTGATCTCCTCAAAAGCTGATTATGCCCTGCATTTTGTAGATGACAGAACATACAGGATCATTTTATCTCAGATGAATATTTTTATCTGTATGTCACATTTTAAGTAAGAAAATGCTAATTTTTACAGTAATTTGCTATCAAAATTCTCTACTAGTCATGAAAAATTATCATTTTGTTTTATGCATTTTCTTGATTATTCATTTCTTCAGATTAAGTACTTGCACACTGAATAATCCACCATATAGAATTAAAATTAGCTTTACATTTAATTTCAAATAAAACCACAGAAACATGGATAGAATTTTATGTGCATGCTAAACCTCTCTTAAAGTTCTCAATATCTATGTGAACAATTTCAATTATAATATTCCTGTAATAATTCTACCAAGCCACTAAATAAGTTGTCTTTTTATCAAATATCTAACACTGACATGCTGTGTCTCAAAGAGCCAAACAGTAAATGTTTCTCATTTATTTGTACTATTTATCTTAAAAAGAAATGATAAATGCATTTTGTCATGTATGCAACTGAGATTTGACCATAACTCCTACATAAAGATTAAAAATTAATTGCATATCTTCTGTATAAAACACTTTCCATTATGCTTGAATAATTTTTGTTGATGACAATCTGTCCGGTACTTCTTCAGATTAAGGAAACTCAACAATGAAATCAACATTTTTCTCATGTTGTCAAGGCTAACATTGCCATAAATGACATCATAGTTGTAATTTTTAGTCAGTGTTACATAGTGTGATCCTATAAACCTTACAAGGAAACCATGGCATTAGATTAGCAGTTTATGAAATTTGGGGGAGGACACATCTTATTAGAGATGTCACTTTCCAGCAAACAAATAACGTTTGCTGCTTCGATTGTGATGAATCACTAGGACAGTGAGGCGTACCGGTGGGAGTGTGCTGCAAGAACTGAGGAGAGTGCACATTCTGCAAGTCAGCAGACAAAGCTCTAAGCCATTCAAACGTGGGTTATAACTTGCCAGAATGAAAATTTATGATGAAGTCTCCATAGGTACATTTTCCTAAGAATTACTTCACAAAAACACAAAGATGCTCAACACAACAAATGCCACACGGGAAACAGTCAACAAGCCAGCATCAAACTCCGCATGAGTGAAGTCTAAAGCAGAACTTCAAGTGGACACGCCTTTAACAACATGTGCTGAACGTACTTGCTTTTGCTTGCTTTTCGCTTGGAGCTGTTAAGGATGAGAAGGAACAAGTTCTACATTAACTGTAAGGCTACTTATCTTTCAAACAAGATACTTAAGGTTAATTTAGCTATTTTAAACATTATGTGTGTTGTTGGAAAGCAAAGAACAGTTGATATGAAAAAGGGATAATGAAACCCTACAATTTTTTCTTTGCTCTACCCCGTTTCTAGTCCAGTAACCACAGTGTTAAAGAGGTGCTCTTCCTGCATTGTACGTGAACCTAGAAGGCTTATTGATGAGCCATTCATTCTGCTTTCTATTTTAAGTTCTCTAAGAATCATGGTTACTTATCTATTCAGGCAAATACATGTTCCTTAAATTTCATAAAATGTTTGAATAGAACGAATTTGAGATGTCAATTGTTCAAGTTTTCAAATATAACTAATTATTTTTAAGTTACTGTACGGTACTCCCATCCTGAGAGGAACAATTTCACACAGCTTATACTTGGTGATGCTCACTGCTAGGCAGCAGTGTTCAGCTATGTGGTCTCTTAAACCTGATTACACCTGTGGTGACTTTGTGTCCTCTCGTGATTCCACAATGAGCGCTCTTCCCTAGCTTTTGCCCGTGCACACTGCGAGTGCACGCTGGGGGCCACTTGCCTCAGTGCTTCCCCGCACAAAGTAGGCAGAACATTCCTACTCGAAGTTCAGTTGGAGCCACCGTGAAGGTGAAGGGTGGATGGTACAAGTGCGCTTCCAGAACACAAAAAACACATGGCCGCCCTTTGCTGCCACTGCTTTGCACACCCATGGGTGCCGTGGCTACTGCACTAACGGGCTGTCACATAGAAAGAGTCAGCGACATGGCCTTGCTCACCTGACTGCTCCTTCTTGGGTGACTTCACTGTAACAGGGAAGAAAAAGAGGAAGCAGTCAGCATTTCATACTATTCACTCATAACTCACTATTCAGTTGTAAGTGAAGTAAAGTCATGCAATTAAGAAAGTAAAGAAACTTTAAAACAATTACCTGGCTCCACGTGTTTCTCTTTCTTTTCCTCTTCTGAAACATATTATCAGTGTTAACATTACTAAGGTCACGTTAATTTTACACACAGCATGCATGCCTTGGTTTAGCAGAAACAAATCCACATGTTCCAAGGCTAGATTGTTGCCAGAAGATCAAGACTAGGTAATAAAAATAATTCTACCCTTCCTTTTGCTTTGGGAATACCCTAATAGGACACCATCAAAATGTTTTAATATTAGAGAAATTCATATTTTTTCCATGAATAAGAGATCATAAAAATAAGAAAAAACTCTATACAAGGTGGAAACATTTTAACTCACTATTTTAAATCAATACTCAATAAATTTGGGATGAAAAATAATATAAGACAAAATTACTGAAGCTATTTCAAAGTAATTCTCAGGCAGACAGAGATGTACTGATCTCATATGGAGTTTTCACAAGAACTTTCTTACATGGAAGAGATATTTATGCTGTACTGGCCCCGCTCCTGGGGTTACACTGAGATGGCTATTTTTTTTTTTTCTTTTTGGTGGAACAGAGGATTGAACTCAGGCCCTTGTGCTTGCCAGGGAAGCGCTTATGCCACTGAGCCATCTCCCCAGCCCTGAGATGGCTATTGAGACTGGGCGTGGTGGTGCGCGCCTGTAATTGCAGCTCTTGGGAGGCTGTAAACAGGCAGATCGTTATGAGTCTGAACTAGTAGTGAGACCATGAACACCCTGTAGACCCTTCCCTAAAATACAAAAAAAATTTTAAAAAGCGAGAGAGATTTATTTAGCCAAGACAAAGGGTTTTTTAAAAGGCAAATCAGAGGCCGGGAGCCAAGGAAACAAAGGCAGAAGCAAGACATGCTTGCGTTGCTTTTAGGACACATGCTCCTTATGGAACTCTCTGCAGCCAGCTTTTTTCTAGGAATCCCCTTTTGGTCCAAATTGTTTGAAAGGAAGCGTCACTCTAGCCGCAAGAGGAAGCTGAGGCTTACAATTCATTGAGTATAATTTCCACTGAAGTGCAGGCAATGATTTTGTATGAAATGCTATTATCTGCATTTCTATCTTTATCTATTTTGACTCCATAAACTTGTCAAGTCAAGAGAATATTTTCAAAAAATGCTGTTATTTAAACATTACTAGCTGTTAGTTGAGGAAAAGGAAACAGGAAACTTTTAAAACTTTCATTTGGTGAATATTTTGAAAACTAGGTGATATTTATGCTGAAAGAAATCTCTAATCTACATTTTAGAGGTATAAAGTGTTGCAGAATATTCGTGGTCATTGCATTGATCTCCTAATTTTACTTATCAGGCTTCTAGTTATGTAAGTACAATAAAATATTTCACTTTGAAGATTACATGCAGTATTAGTAAGACAAGTAAAATAACTAGCTTGACCAAGTGTCATAGGTGGGAAAAAAAAAAACCCTTTAGCTAAAATTAAATATAAGGGCAGGCCAAATAGCTCAGTGTGTTAAAGGGCCTGCAAGCAGGTGCTTGGGCCAGGGTTTCGATCTCTGGGCTTGCCATGCCGGCCCTGCCCCCAGGGTATGCTGAGGTAGCAATTGAGACTGGGCATGGTGGCGCGTGCCTGTAATCCCAGCACTTGGGATGCTGTAAACAGAAGAATCACTATGAGTCTGATCTAGTAGTGAGACCCTGAACACCCTGTAGACCCTTCTCTAAAATACAGAAAAAAATAAATAAATAAAAATGAAATGTAAGGAAAACATTACTAAATGTTGTCTACGAAATGAGGAGTAATTGTGTAAATAAATACTGAGTAAAATGCTTCAATTAGAAGAAAAATTCTAAGTAAATTTTAAAAAGACTTGAAGACTGGGCATGGTAGTGCACTCCTGTAATCCCAGTCCTGGGGACACTGAAAACAGGAGGATCACTATGAGTCCCAGCTGTGTAGCAAGACCCTGTACCAAATACATTTAAAAAGACAAGCTGTGAGGTGGGATGTCACTCTGCTGCCCACGTTATCCTTGAACGCCAGATCCCCCTGCCTCAGCTGAAACTGGGGAGATATCAGGTACGTGCCAGTCCACCTGGTTTTACTGGTAGACGCTTCTAAAGCAATGGCAATTACAAAGAAAGATAATGGGAACAGATTTCAGTCCCGACCAAAACCGAGCATCAGCTATGTAAGAGCTTCAAGTTAAAGGTTTCATGAAGGTATTAGAAAGCCGAATGTAAGGAAAGCTGCACCTGTGCCAATCTGCAGTGACAGCCAAGAGGGTGGCACAGGGGCCTGCATTACGGAACACACCATGAGACTGAGTGAGCCCACCCTTGTCATCAACAAGTTATCTTTAGGTTCTACTGCAGCTGCCAATTCATGCTTATGAGTGATTGCTTGAATTGCCTTTTTTGTTTTTTTAATTTTGAAGAAACTTTGATTAAAGAAATTTGCAAAATGTGCTTTATCTTTGTCTTAACCATCCAGCAGAAAAGTATGAAAATAAAGTACAAGAAATAAAGCCATGCTGTTATGCTGAGCTGTAGGGGACTCAGGTCAACAGCTCTGACATTGGCAGTCAAGTGGAAGACCCAGTACTGTTATGGACTACCAGACTATTTTGGAATATTTTGCTGAGTTCACACACCTATACTATTTAAATGAAGGAACTAAACAAGAAAAAGGGATATAGATGAATGACCATTTTGTATCTGTGTATTCAAAATGGTTAGGATAGATATATAGCTACATTCTCTTAACTCAAGGAATAGAGGGATTTGTTCTAATAGTGTTTGTAAGTAGGATATCATGTCTACATCTTGTACACCAAATAACCACTAGGAGGGCAGTATGCAATGTGTTAATTATTGGAACTGTCCTACCAATTTGATTTGGAACTGTCTCATTGCTATTTATTTCTCAATAAAATTATGGAAAAAAATTTTTAAACATGTAGGAGAATGGTTTAAGTGCTTTTTCATCTGTAACCCTTACCAGGGCATATGTACGTCATAACTAGTATGTATTATGTATCACGTATCAGTGTATGTGTACCACACATAGCCTCTACATTCCTTGCGTGGATTTGGAATAGGTGCATAACACGTCTTAATTCCTTTTTCCATTCCTTTTCTCCTCTCTTCCTCCTACTCTTGACTTGTTCCTCCCTGGATAGAGATCTGTCTACTTCCATTATCTATCTTTACTTTGCTCTTTATTTATAAATCCTGTTTCTCATATAAGGAAAATATGTGTTACTTAATCTTGTGTGTCTGATTTATTTCATATATACTTCAATTTGCACTCATTTCCTTACAAATGATTCAAGTTTACCTTTATTTATGACAGAGTGGTGCCTCATTGTGTGTAAATACCACTTGTCCTTTAGTCCTCTGTTACGAGCTTACAGGCTTCTTCCAACACTCAGCTGTCCTAAGTGGGCTGCACATATTCGTGTAGCCTGATGTCTCTAACTCTGGGGAAAAAAATACCTAGAAAGAGACTAAGTGGGTCCCTTGCGATTTCCAGGTTTACTGTTTTGTACAATCTGTGCACTGATTTCCATAGTGGTTGCACTTTTAAACTGGAAATTATACTCTTTTAAGTCATGTTGCCTAAAACAGAAGAAGGAAAACATTAGGTAATGGTGCGGAATCAAAGGTGGTAATCTTAAAGACAGAGCAACCAAGCAAACAAATTCAGAAACATAAGAAAAATAATAAACGTCAGTGCAGCTAACAAATCAGAGTGAGTGAGCTGGCTGGAAAGAAAATTTGCTTTGAAGAAAACGGGCTCTTCTGCAGCCACTGCCTAAACAGACGCCACAGAGCTGCTTGAGGAGAGAAGCAGCTGGGTCGGGAGGCGAGCCTGAGAACACACGTTTACTCATTAAGCACATTAATGCCCTGCAGATTGCTAAGGAGCTGTGCCGTAATGTCTGCAGGAGCTGCTAAATCGTATAAACTGCAATAAACTGAGCACCTTCAGGTTATAGATATATTATTTAATAACATTTTTCAAATCTCCAGTCATCTGCCACTCGCCCGCTGGTGCAAGGGTTTATGCAGTGCCAAAACCCATCAGCAGCTGTGCACACGCATAAATCCAGGGCTCAACGAACACGTCCTTCTCCACAGATAAATTGCTCCCTCTGGCTGGCTTTTAGCATAATTTCATGATTTTTTTTTGCAAAGGACATTTTATAGCATTTTTATGGCATAGAATATCTCAGGGTCTTAACTTTTTGTAGAGTAAAAACATTTTTTTTTAAAAAACTGGTGTATATACTTTAAAATAAATGTCTTTAATACCTTTGGGAACTTAAAAATCACCACAGTCTGGAAATGCACTAATTTTACTAGCTAATGGAGTAAAGATAAATTGTTTGTTTTTAAAATGTGTATTTGCTAAATACATCTTCTTTTTCCTTGCAAGGAGAGTACATAGTTGTAAGAGCCACAACCCTAAGGCACTGCTTGCTATTGAATTGCCAACAAACCAGTTTAATCATGTGGTGAAGCCTCAGACGTGGATCCTTTGCATTACGCAAAGCTCAGTCTTTATAGGGGAAAGTCATATTACAGAGAAAAGGTCCTACGTCACTTGAACATGTCGAAATATTTATAGAATTTAAGAGGGAGGATCATAGTATAGACAATGAAACTAACCTGGAAAGGATTCTGTGCATATTTTCTCAGAACTGAGAGCTACCTGGATCGTAAGGACCATGTTTACTCTGGCACAAGGCCTTGTGGGCTAATGGAGCACAGTTATACTTTTGGCACGAGCCTGCGGAAGGTATTATTAGATGCTTGCATGAGTTATGAAAAGGGCTTTAAGAGCGCATGCTTTCCCTCCAGGGTTCTCTGCCCCGGAGAGTTGTATATTCTTCATTCCGACAAAACAATAAGAAACAGACTCCACATACATAAAACATGGGAAAAAGAGAGTCAACGCTGCAGCCCTAAATAAACCAGGAGACCAGTAATTGTGTTAGAGAGCAAAGCTGTACACAGATGGGCATTGCGTGTGTTTCTTACTTTTTCCCTTGGGTTCTTCTGTTGAAAGAAATAAAAACAGAAAGCCATTGCTCTTAAAACACTTAGAGGTAAACCTTGCTACCTGTGCGGGATTAGACTACAAGCACTCTAACCTTTCTGTGTACTCTCTCCTGACAAAGAGTACGGCTCTGACCTACTGCACTGCTGGGCATTACAGACAGCTTCATACCTTTATGGACAGACATTATCTAACAATGAATTGAGCTAAAATTGGACCTTTGAAGATTGTCAAGTATTTGCTGGTCATAGTCTTCTTCAATGTGCATATTCAGACAGCTAATCATTTTGCCCAGAAAATTGTGAACATGGGCAGAAAACACAGCCCATTCTTGCCAAATAGGTTAGGATTCCATTCAGAATTTCAGAAAGTACTTCAGTTCCTAATTGACGCTGACGAACCCAACTTAACTAAGTGTGCATCACTTAGTTAGGTCAGTAGTTAACTGTTAGGTAAGTAGTTAGCATTGTTCTATTGCTCAGAAAGCAAACATTTCTTTGAAAACAATTTACTATAAAAAGCAAAAGCATGAAGTAATTTTTATTGCTGTCAATATTATATAACTGACAATATCATCAGAAAAAAATTGGACACTCTTCTTTTTTCATCTCTCCTATGTCTAGATTTTCTTTTATGCTGATCCTTTAAGAACAATGCCACTTAAGAGCTTATCATACACAAGATAGAAAAATAAATATTTCCAGTACCTTCTGTAGGTGTTTTTATTTTCTTGGCATCTGAAAATACAAAGATAAATTACTGATAAAACACATATGATACATCAACAACAGAGTATCTCATAAAAAATTTTCATAAACACTGAGGTAAGTTTTAGCTAAATGAATTATCGTATGAAATATTTCTCAAATATAAAGCCTAAGAGAAACTACCACTTGCAAAAGGATGAGTTTCTAAATCAGACCAGAAGTGGAAATGTTTTGAAGTATGAAACGTAAAAACAAAATGTAAGAAAACACACGCATATAGTCTGCATAGGGCTCTGGTCACGCCTACCCAAGACACCCACGCTCAATAGCAAGCCACACTGAGCAAGTGTCCACAGTGCTTCCACAAAGACGTCTGTGGCTCAGGATCAGCTCAAGTGACTGCGTAGTGCTTTCTCGGAATAACCAATGTGCTTCCAGGAAAGATACTTAATTCTTCTCATTGTGATGGAAAAGCATTAAGTTGGTACTGCTCACAGGCTACTGACGAACACACTATATTTATAACTACCCTCAAGTAATGCGCATTTAATGGTTATTGGACACCCATTTTATTTTTAATAGAGGGACATTCAGCTGAGATCTGACACTTTTATTATTTTTTATTATCAAGGCATTAACTTTATATCACCTGAAAATGAAAACAGGAAGTTTTTATCTTGAAAAAAATTCTCATTTATTATTGAAAGGAAGTGTCTTAGTTCAAATTCTTTCTTAAAATATTTTATTTATTTCTTCAGGCTTTTTCATCTTCTGTAATTTAATTTTGAAATCAGAATCATAATAATGAGCTATGTATTGATACTTACAAAAGGTAGTTTGTTTTCTGGCTAGCAATTAGTCTGGCTTAGAATTTACAGCAGCTGACACGCACTGACAGTGTTTAAGTTAAGAGATTTGTGTACTGCATAGTGTTGTGGGGGAACCTGAGTATGTTTCCATGATGTAGTAGTGGACCAAAGGCCTAAAAAAATAATGTAAGCACAACAGGAAGTTGGATGGCCAATGAAGAGATTTTATGAAAATAATAATGACCAGCGCCTATCACAGTGTGAAAGTAACGATCCATTTGCATAGAATTATAAGCTGGAAACACAGTTTAGCAAAAAAAAAAAAAAAACCAGGGAAATAATCTAGACCATTATAAAAAGCAGCATGCCTTTCAATGCAGTCCATTTCTAGGACTCCAAAGACAAAAATGCAAAATTATAAATGTGTGATTTACCCATGAGACTGTTTGATTTTTTAAATGATGGAAATATTAAATCATATAGTCTCAACAGTAGGAAATCAATGAAAAATTTGTTACCTACCCACTCAATAAAAAAGTCTAGTCATGAAGGTAATACTTTTGCCAATTTTATGTTCTGGGAAAATAATAGCTAAATACTAGGTGTTGGTATAGGGTAAGCGTGCAAAACTCAACATACAATGTGTATATGAGGAGTCTTGGTTATTTTTAATTTTCCTTCTTTTTTGTCGTAATAAAATAGGTAACATTGTACATATTAATTGTACTGAGATGAAAAAATAAAATATATTTTGAAGTCCAGGATTGGGTGGACAATAGTATTTGTTGAGATATGATAAAACAGTTCATAGGGGCCGGGGAGATAGCTCAGTGGGATAAGCGCTTCCCTGGCAAGCTCAAGGGCCTGAGTTCAATCCCAGGTTCTGCCAAAAAAAAAAAAAAAAAAAAAAAAAAAAGAAATGCACACAACAACAAACCATGATCTAACCAAGCAGCTTTTCTAATAGTTCAATATATTTAAGAACAGAGGGCCACACTGAAATTTAATTAGAAGGGCCTAAGGAAAACATAGCTTTTCATTAAGAATCGAGATCTCCCCAGGCTTAAGAACGTACCTAAGCAACCGAAAATATAGCACTTGGAATCAGAAGTTCACACTCTGACCTTGAAAGCCTTCTGGTACTTCTGTTAAGAGTGCTGGTGTTAAACTTCACTATGCCAGCGACACTGTGTGCTGAAGCAGCTTAAGTATTACGAAGGTTTACTTGGAGAACATACTTCCCTACAGACTATCGACCCAAGAATCTGAGGAAGCCTTTTATTGGGAATACTGGGGATCCTAACGGTGTTTTAAAAAGAGTGGTGTGTCTGCCGGCTGTTCAGTCCCTCACTCGCCATCGTCAGCAGCCTATTGGGTGCGGCCTCCTCATCCACAGCGGGGTCATGGGGAAGTGAAGTAGCACCTCTTTGATAGTCTAGTAATGCTGGTAATGAAATCACTCCTGTCCGTTGTCAAGCCTGCCTGGTTGACATCTTTCCTCAATATTAATGCCAGATATACCCCCCCTTTTTCTTCTTGCTGTATGATTTCTTCTGAACTATCTTTTCTAAAGTGTTAGAATTGGGGAATAATTCCCTCAGGCACTGATTGTACTTATATTAGTTGTAGAAAGCAGTTAAGTCTCACCTGGCTAGTCTTAGTGGATTTTTATCCTTCAGAAGGTAAACTGAAGTTGTCAGAATTCTAGTCCCAAAGAATTCATTAATTAAGCTTAGATTAAATGAAAGAGATCTACCTAGATGGATTATTCTTATGCATATATGTGATAAAACAACCAATTGTTTGTTAGGACTCCTTAAACTTAAAAAGTTTGTCACAATGTATCATCATCATTATTACCATAAGCATGTCATTATCATTACACAGTAATTATAATAAATCTTATGTACAATGTAAAAAAATTGGTGCCTATTTGTATTTATCATAGCTGTTAGGTTTATCTTCGGAGTCCTAGGTATTGCCGATTCATCCACAGAATGTAAACTTGTTAAGCAATGAGCAATTGAAGAAACCACGTTAGTCCCTGAAAGGATAACTGTGAGCTGGATGGGGTCCCTTTAGTCAAAAGCCTTAACTCATTTGGTGTAAAAATCCCAAAAACATGAGTGAAAGCTACATGAAGCACAAAGTTATAGCAATGACAGAGAGACACAGATGCACAGTAATGGAATCATGCATGCGATAGAAAGCATTTTAAATGGGGAGGATCAGATGTGTGGGGAAAGAGAAATTATCCTGAACCCTCAGATATTGCACACCCATGGGGTAGGAAAGGGAAGTTTTATTAGGCTAACAACAAGAACAACAGAAGAAGGACAGAGCATTTTAGGTAGAGCAGAAAGTAGTTTTGCATAGAGTGACATTTAAAGGAAGACTGAGGAAAGCACAGGATGGGGAGAGCCGCACCAAGGTGTCCTGCACAGCCAAAGGTCTGAGACACAGCTGAGTGGAATTTCCGCAGGATGCTCATGACCCTCACAAGTGTAGGGAGCTTGGAGACCTGTGAGGGCTGCTGGACACTGTCTCCCAGTGCGTGCTGAGCTCTCCTGGAAGCGTGTAAGAGAAGACATGGTTCCTCCTCATCTCATGAGTGCTCATGTCCAGAGCCCTGTGAGTGGAGTCACAGATCATAGAATCAAACAGCCATAGTCTGGAAGCAGCTTCTTGGCAAGGAAGTGACTCTACTTGGTGTTACCTAGCCCGTGATTTGGGTTTCCCCCTCTGGGTGGTTGGACAAGGCTGGCACCTTCGGTACTGTTCCTTTTCTGCCTGGCAGTAATTCATTATTGCCTCAGCCCCACCCAAAGGGATTCCTTGCAACTTCATTGCTGGAAAAGTTCAGGCCCTGGTGCTGAGCTTGTCCAGACAATGTGTGTCTGACAGGAGGTCAGAACAAGCAAGTGGGAAACCGTGAAGGGATTTCCAATGTGGACGAGCTCCTGTGGTCCACTTGGTGGTCACTGTGAAGTCGCTCCATAGTTTAAACAGTTAGTGATATAAAAAGCTCAGAGAATACAACTGGTCAGTTTACAAAGATATAATATTATAAGCAGGATAGCCATTGGCCTGTATGAGTTTCAAACATTTCATCTCAGGACTCCAAAAGGAGTTGGAGCAATTTTTAAGGCTACTTATAAAGGATTATTATTAAAGATTACTAAGGATTTCAAAAGCTTTTTATTTACTTTTCATTGTGTTTATAATTTCAAGCATTAAAGTCAATTTTTAAAATATGCATTATTTATTCATTTGTTAGAAATAGTAAGCCTGTTATATGTTCACATGAATAACATATTCTTATAACAAAAACATTTCTCAAGACAAAAACAAAAAAATTGGTGACCTGAGTGACTTTATTTTACACTTTTGTGAATCTGTTCATATCTGGTTTAATTAGCAGCAGTTGAATTTACATATCTGCTTGGGTATTTAGTCCACTACAATATCGTATGTCATTTAGCCTCTGGGAAATTTCAGGGCATTCATGTGAGAAGGAAAGTGAAAAGCACAAGAGGCAACTTCATTTTTTTTTTTTTTTCCAAAATAGTGGTGACCTTGAAGAACCATGGGAAGGGATGCCACAACTCCAAGGGGCTATGTCTGAAAGTGTCTGATTTTGGAAGTCATTGCCTTAGTGAGACCGATATGGAGTCACAACTGTCAATGTCACGGGGCAGGGGCTTTAATGGAGATTACTTTTCCTAATTAGTTTTTGGGTGTTTTTTTGGTGGAACCAGGGATTGAACTCAGGCCCTTGCGCTTGCCAGGGAAGCGCTTACTCCACTGAGCCATCTGACCCGCCCCTCTTAATTAGTTTTGGAAGAATTAAACAAAAGAAAGTTTAGCCGAAGTACAAATTTTGGAAGACTAAATGCCAGGAGCAAAGAGGAAGAAGCTAGGGCTACAGCTTAAACCAGAAGCCGAATTTGGTGTCTAAGCAGATGGTTGTATGTTTCCTAAGCAAACTCAGACATGGGGGTCGCTTGAAGCCCCACAGACAAGCTCCACAGCGTGTTGGCTACACACCTTCTCAATGACTTGAAACGTGGTGCAAAGCCATGAAAAACCCAACTGAAGAATCCAGAAGTAGAATAATAGAAGGAAGCAAATACAAACTTAAAGCAATGACATTGTCATCTGACTCCCATTTCACGGACCTAAAATTCTTTTATTACTTTGCTTTGGATGAACAAAAAATAAATATTCATGTTACCACTTTATCTCAATCGAATGATAGATTGTTTCTTATTCCTAACTGGAAGTGGTGGAGGAAATTTAACCATTCTGGGATTACATTCTCTGTCAATAACCATGCCTTGAACTTGCAGTCTCATTATTCTTAACAACATATTGGCCTACTCACTCCAGCGTTGATACTATAAATGGTATAATTTTCTAAAACACATTGAGAAGATTTGTTACATAGATAGGGAATTAATACTGATTTCAGCTTCTTGACATGAAGTACATAAATGGGTCTTCATTGCCTTTATTGGGATGCCATGTCTTGTCCTCTCTGTATGAACAATAATCAACAGACTAAATATTGTATCTCTCATGTCTCTGACCTCTTAGTTTCCTGTTGAGCAGAAAGAAAATGTGACTCTTGAACTATTATGATTATATGACAACATTTGAAGATGTTAAATATGAAATGTAACACCAGCTTTATAGTAAGTAGATTATAATTGTCATTTTTTTCAAAATTGTTAATAATTTATTTTTCAAAATTGTTAATAATTTCTTAGTAAAATATATGATTTTTACTAAGAACATAAGCTTAGCTTAACTAACAGGAGTGGAGCCTGCACCCAGGGTGTCAAAGTGCCACCAGCAGCTCTAGACAGGGTCACAGTGAGTGGGCGGCCTTACTGCTCTCTTCTGCTTTGGTGTAGATTTCTTCCTGCCTACAGGTCTTGGTCCTGCCTTGGCTTACCACTTTGCCTACAGAAACCATTACAACTGTAAGTTCTTTCTCTGACCCTTTGAGATAGACATGTTTTACAACTAAGGAATGTCTTTCACAAGGAAAGAAGCACCAAGTTTTTGAAATGTAATCACTAATTGATGAATGAATGAATGAACGAATGAATGAATGAATGAATGAATGAGTCAACAGTAGTGCTCTTGTCTCCGAGTTTCTTGGTAAAGGAGAAGCCCAGCAGTGCCATGTGCCAGTTTGGAGGCACCACCCCTGTGGGCTGGTGCATGGGCCATCCCCTCCCTCAAGATCTTGTGGTGCTTTTCTACTGCCTTCTCCGCCCTTAAAGTCTTGGACCTCTGGTTTTGGTGTGCTTGTTCAATCTCTTTCCCTAGTAAAAGACATGGTCCCTTTGGCAATGCTCATGCCTCATGTTTTGTTCCCACTTATTTCCATCTAGTGCAAATTTTCCTTGAGAAAAATATTATTATACTCTGTATGAGGCCACCCTGATACAGGCAGGTGGATGGTCACGGACGGACTGTAACTTACTTGTAGTTCAGCAGGGCAAAGTCACATCAGTTGCTTGTGTGTGTGTGTGTGTGTGTGTGTGTGTGTGTGTGTGTGTGTGTGTATGGGCAGAAGGGGTTAATGAAAGGTATGTAATTTACAAATTGGTGATGCTTGATAAAATTGCCAGCAAAATAGGAAGTGTAGGATTTGAAGGTGCTGTGTTTAATCCCTTGTATCTTGAGCCAGAGTACACTAAGATTACTTTTTAAGTAGTAGCACATCATTTTGTGTGAGACGAGCTAGAAAAGCCCATCGACTGTGTCCACACAGTCAACCTCGTGATCTTCTGCAGGAGTGCAGGTGGGAGAGCAGCCCACACCAGGCTCCGAGGCTGGGGAGCCATTCCCCAAAAGATGCATGGGGCTGGGCGTTGAACATACCTTCCTTCTTTGCATCCTTCTTAACTGCTGCTGAAATAATGAAAGGAAACAGTGTTGACTGTAGTGAAAGATCGTTTCTGAGAACACGTCTCATGATATAAGAATATATTATACATATTCACAAATTCAGTGGTCCCCTATGTAGTAAACAATCCAGGCAAACTTATAGTAAGGATATCACCCAAAATATTATTCCAGGAAAATATTTTTAAATTTGAAATAAGCATATGTTAAAAACAGAATAAATGCTATATCAATTAAACAGATAAATCAAATCCATAAGTATATTTTTGCTGTCAGTTAAATTTAGGTTTGAAACAGTTATATTGAAAAAATTTTCAATTACTGCAAGAAAGTCATAAGATATAAAACTACGAGTTGACTTATCAAAAATGGAGGTAATATTTTACAAATTATCTATGCCTAGATTCTGAAAAATTATACAACAATTCATACCTTACATTTGCATTACTATGACAGTATCTTAAATATCCTATTTCAGAAAGGAGGAATAAATGTCCCACCCTTCATTTTAGGGAATAAAATACCATCCTTTATGCAGAAAAACAGGGTCTAGGAGGCCTGGGAGATGGCTCAGTGGAATAAGCGCTTCTCTGGCAAGCACAAGGGCCTGAGTTCAATCCCTGATTCCGGAAAAAAAAAGAAAAGAAAAAAGAAAAGCAGGGCCTAATCTGTTAAGTGGCTTTGAATTCGGACTTGTTCTGCGATGATTCATGACATTCAGAATCCAGCTTGTAGTGCATAGACGTTACCAGAAACCTTTAAGGGAGGTGCTCTGTAGGCTTCGGAAGGTTCTGAGCAGGATGGAGCTTGGTTCTCCTCAACAATAATTCAGGAGCCAAAAATCAAGTTAGAGGAGTCGGAAGCCACATTCTTAAATCTGAGTTTACATACACTGCAATCCAGCCAGAATCAGATAGCAGGAGACTACTCGGACCCAAAACCCCGAACTGCACTGGACCCCCGTTCTCTAGCCCTGATGGTGCCCAAGCTTTCCAAGCGAAGCCTCTCCTCTACACAATAGCGTCTGATAAGAGCATCCCAGAGACATGCAGCATCGGCAAGCTCCAAGCAGCTTGGAAATGCTCGCCCTGAAAGGAAGAACAACTGAGTACAAAGCCAGGAACAAAAGCCAGCGAGGAGTGAACTTCAGTTTAGTACAGGTTGCTTTTCTATATTTTCTAAATTAATTAATTAATTAATTAATTTTGGTGGTACCAGAGATCAAACTCAGGACCTTGCACTTGCCAGGCAAGCACTTATTCCACTGAGCTATCCCCGAGCCTCTAAATGTTATCAATGTACTGTTACTTTTGTAGTTTAAAAAGTGACCTTACAAATATATTGCTTTATTTTGGGGCATTTCATTCTTTTAATGTACTTTTAACGGATAACATAGAAAATATATAAGCAATTCATCTTCATGAACTTCTGAAATTCTAAAAGTTTGTCTGTTGAGGTGATGTAATGCCAGTAACAGCTGAAGTGAGTTCAAGGGTTGGGTACCTCCTGACGGGGCTCTAAGCCCTGCGGCAATAAGGTCACCCAGTCCTGCCACTTCAGCTTGTTTGCTGGTAGTTCTTTACTTTGCAACTAATACTTCTGTTTAAGAAAATTTCATAGTTTTCAAATTTATACATCCAGAAAGTATAGATTTTTATTCTAGAACTCATGTATTTTTCACATTTTCTCTCAGGTTTTCACAAAATGGAAAAGGGTAAAGCAGGGCTGCCCTTTTAGACTCCACAGAAGGAGGATGCTTCCTTTTGCTTGTGTATTTGTGTCACGGCATTTCCTATAATTTAATTCATGTCTGTTCCAAGGAAAAGTGGATCACACAATAGAAGTAGGAGACTCTTTGAAGAAAGAGAAACTAAAATAACACAAACATACAAGCAAAAGCTGCTACTATCCATCAAGAGCCTCAGAGCTCTGCCCAGTGAGGGGCCCCAAAGCCTACCCTTTCTTTCGAGCAACAGACCCAATTTTTTTTTTTTTTTTTTTTTGGCAGAACCAGGGATTGAACTGGGGCCCTTGTGCTTGCCAGGGAAGCACTTATTCTATTGAGCCATCTCCCCAGCTCCCCCACTTCTCAAATGATTGTGACTAATGTCTTGCCTGGTGCCAGAAATTAGGCTGAGAATGCAAATAAGTTTTGCAAAACCATTATTTGTTAGGAATTCGACAGGGAAGAAAGACTCTGAAACTTAAGTTCTTTTTAAAAAACAGCAAAATATTTTGTAGCTACCTCAGAAATCTTTTGATTTGTGAAATGAAACAGGAAGAAGGTGCAGCGGCGAGACACATACATACACGTTTCCTCCTTTCCTGTTCTTATTTCCTTCATGGCTTCAGTTTTAACTTTGCCCAGTGCAGGAGTCTGACCTCTGTCCCCGACACTGGCTTCTGTGCCTTCCCAGGTCACAGAAGACGGATGGGCTTTATTCACTGCCATCTGGATGGCCACATGACCTGGCAAGCTGACTCTGTGCCCACCAACTAATCAAAGCCAAGCTGCTGAGCTCCAACTGCTTCTAGGATGGCTCTGCAACTTTGCCCGTGTGCTCCTCTGTGAGTGCTCAGGCAGCCTGCCTCGTGCTCATTTACTTAGCTGGATTATAGGGCCAATGATGCCTGAATTTACGGAGTAGACACGGTTGTCAGTGTTGGGCCTCTTGTTTCTCACACCATAATGAGACTGCAAAGGCTGTATTTCAATTTTGTGTTATCTTTATGTCTTGTTTCTGTAATATATGGCAGATATTGTCTCTTGGGAACTCAGAAGCATAACTGCAGTAGAAATATATGAGCCCAAGTCGCACCCAGCTCCATCCTTTAAGCTGCGCCCTGCAGTGGCTTTGGCCTATTCTCAGGCATGCTCATCTCAACAGATGGGGGTGTATCCATTGCACCTAAATGATTTTTTTAAATGCCCTATTCCCTCCTTTCTCTCTGGCTTTGGTCTATATTATATTTCCTTCTTACCATGTATTACATAAAACCTATGAACCAGATAGAACTTCCACCTAAATTCTAACAGGCTACTGAAAGTCACTGCCTGGACCACTCGCCACGAGGACAGCAGCGTTCTTCCAGGAAGCGGGTCACCTTCTTCCATCTTCTTTCACCTCCCAGGTCATTTGTAGGAATCAGCCTCCTCCCTTTACCCAGATCCAGCAGGCGGTGCTCCTGGGCTCTTCCCTTTGTTCAGGCCTTAGAATCTACTAGATATCAGTTCTTCAAATTGATCATCATGTTTGCATTGTTTTCGAATGTCACTTCTATGGTCCCCTTGAAGGTCCTGGGCTCAGGTCTTAGTAGCAGTGGACTCGGCAGACGCTGCTTGCCCCTCAGATGCAATTGGGCCACTGCTCGCTAGCAATGGCTTCTTCTCAGCTGGTCCAGTTCCCAACCGCAGCCCACATCCAAGTCATATCACTGTTCATCCTGGAATCCTCCCTCGAGTGCCAACACCTACTAAAGTCTATTTGTCTTAAAGCATACAATATTTAATGTGCTTATGATTTTATTACAAGATATCCTATTTATGCTGTTCCTTACATTTGTCATACCCTGAAATCAGTCTCCTACAGTGCAGAGATACTTATTTCATAGACTCCTTAGTGTCTCAAAACTTCATCAATTTAAACATCATGCTTCCAAAGAAGTGTGCAAATCTTAATAATAATTACAATTAAATGTATGTATAGAACAAATTAATTAATAAATACTTCTGCATTTACCTATATGCTAAATACTTCCTCTGCAAAATTAAATATAAAGGAAAGATATGATTGGCCTTTACTACCCTAACAATGTCATTGTCCATTTGGTCCTTTCAGAAACCACAGTCTACTATCACACCATCCCCAGGTAAGTTGTGTGTGAGTTGTGTCTCCGTACGAGCACTTGGAAGCGTTATCTCTCGGTTCGCGTGCATGGCTTGGTCTTACGCCTGCTGTTGTCAGATGTGTCTGCGAGACGCTGCGTGTACGCCTGCTTTGGAAGGTCACTGTCGAGGACGTCAGCATTTCCTTCTAATTTCCTTAAAAGCACAGTTTAATGAGAATTTATGACTCTAGGCTACCATTTAGTCGATAATAATTTCTTTTTTTCCAAAAGAGAAGCTCAGAAGCTGTCTGGACAGATATAGTATGAATGTTAAAGAAACTATAGCCTCCAGCTCAAATAGGAAGGAAATTTCCAAATATCAAGTTTCTCCCTTTGAAGTCCTCTAATAAGAGATTGAAGTAAAACTAAATTCCTGCCTCAGGCTATAGCTCCACATCGCTACCACCTTCCGCAGGAGTGTCAGGCAAAGCAGAGAGATCATGGGTAATTCATCTTTTTATTACAAAAATATATATGCACAATGTACATTTACAAATCAACGACGTTTTAAACTGGTCAAGATTTGCATGAAGAGTCCAATCCCGCCGGCCTGTGCACTTGGCTGCTTTAGGTTCCCGTCTCCCTTATCTGCTGCCCTCCCTTCAGAACTTTCCCAAAGAGGGTCAGTAATACTGGACGGCTAATCGAGAGGAAAACGGAAATCCGGCTCGTCGGCCTCCAAGGTGGGGCGCGGGCCCCCCAGCTGCGCGTGGGTGGGTGGGGTGCAGCAGGGACCCTGCTTCGCGCGGGGAGGAGCCCGCCGCAAGGACCCTGCGCGCAGCCGCGCTCCTGCCCCGAGCGCCGAGGCCACTGCTGCGCACCGCGGCCCGCGCGAAGGAGGCGCCGCCGGCCTCTTCCACAAGTGTTTCCGCTTCACCCTTCTCAGTGTGCAGGCTAAAGCCTTGCATGTGGCCGCAGCCCAGCATTCGTGCCCTTCCTTTAGTTTTCATCAAACTACCCCACAAGGTTGAGAATTAACCCGCTGCGCTGGCCCCCAGGTATTCTTTTAGGTACATGTAAAGGATCAGTGACTGAAATTTGGAGTCGAGATCCTCGTTTATCTTTCCTTCCCAATTGCTCTGCAGATCCGTCTTATTCTCTCCACTGTCTGGCTTGATCAGCAGGAGGTGACCTGCGGTGACGCCCTGCGATCCTAGTGCACGCGCGCAGCGCTGTGTCGCTGCAGCCCAGCAGATGGCGCTCGTGCGCAATAAACAGCGTTCACCCCGCTCGGCGCCGCGCTGCAGGCTTACGCAGGCAGCAGCTGGCGAGAGAATTTTTAGTTGCTTTATTGCTTACCTTGTGCTGCAACTTTTGCAGTGCCTTGCTTGGTTTCGGGCGCTTTCCCTGGTTCTTAGGGGAAAAATAAATTAATTAATACAAAGTAATATTTGAAAAACATGCATCATCAAATAAAATGAGGGAACTACACAAACAACGCCGCAGTAATAATGAGTACAGCCTTGAGCAGTTCTGATAAGGAATAAGGTTTCTGCGGGGATCGCAGAGAATAAGGCTTGCTGAGACAGAAAGATAAACAATGATGAAATAAGGTGAAGCGCAAAATAGAGTCCCGCACTGCCTGACCGCATGCAGCGTGAGGGGGAAG